GATAGTGACTTTGTAGGGGCTAGAATACTGAGAGGCAATGTGGCCATACCCCTGGCATCGAAAGCACTTAGTTCTCGGGTGAGACCTAGGGGTATTTGGGGTGGGAGACTTGTTTCCAAAGTTGGGACAGGGTGTGGGAGGACCAGAAGGTGGTCAGGCAGAGGACCGGGGGTCAACTGTGCAATGGAGGAGTGAGGAGTAAAACTACCGGAAGGTCTGTAGGAAGGCCTAGAGTCTTGGTGCCGACTGGGTGTTGGGGACGGGTTTCCTCGAGATCTAACACTAGGTTGTAGGCATTTTCTAGAGTAGTAACATTCCGATCAAATAGTTCGTTGCATAGATCCTCAAGCAATCTGGTACGAAACATGGACAGTATTTGTGTAGGGTTGGTAGAGGTCTCTCCCTTGCAGTGAATCAGATAATCATCAAAAGATGTTATGTAATCCTTGACTGGTTTGTTACCCTGAGTTAACCTATTCCACTTAGCTAGGAGCCTCGGAAAGTACGAGGGATATAAGTACTTATGCTTAAGCTCGCGCTTCATCGACGGCCAATCAGTGATAGGGTATTCGCTTCGGGATTCTCTAAGGCTTTCTAGGTTGGACCAAAACAGACTAGCCTTACCAGTGAGATTCATTTCAGCGAATCGGACTTTTCTAGCCTCAGAGATGTTGCACTACTTAAAAAAAAAATATCCATACCCTTAATACAGTCCAGAAAGAGTTAATCCCATTAAGGGTACAATCAAAGGTCGGAGCATCGACCTTGATATTTTTCATCAGTGTAATATTCGGGTCAAGTTTATGGTCATGTCCATATTGGGGGGTCGATAAGGGGCATAAGGTGGTCCCTCATCTTGAAAAGTATCGTCCCCGGACATGGAAGGAGGTCTAGACAAAGTGTAAGGGATAGGGTGGTTCTTACCACAATCTAGGGTATCAAATCGTTTAGTTGTATTTCTATGGAGTTCAGCTATGTTAGCTTGGTTCTCTTTGAGTTGTTGACTAATTATGTTCATATGATCTACCAACATATCTAAAGTCTTATGTAATTGTTCCGGGTCCATTCTAATGTCTAAGATGACTTAGAACTATGCTAAAGAGATAGTGATCAATATGCAAGCAAGCAAATGAAATTAGAACATGCAAGATGCAATTTAGATGCTAAATATGTAATAAAGGTTTTCCTAATAGGCACCTAAATGAAACCATGCTCTGATACCAGATGATGCAAGACTAAAATGCTTAAGCAATGTTAGAAAAGAACCTTGCACAATTTAATTTAGAGAGCTTTATTAACTAAAATACTTATAGTGATTAAACGATGAAATAAAAGTAGAAAGGGATGAGACAAGCTTAGGCCAAGTCACACGATTAGAGGTTAGGATCACAAAATAATCAATAATTTAAAACATAGCATACATGAAAGATTTCCAACAAGAAATCCCTAGGCTAACAATGAGATTATTCACTATGAAGAGTCCTTCACTCACTTCTAGTTTACTAGGATTAGCAGAGAGGTTTAACATGATCGTAGTGAATCAATTAAAACCAAAAGTGGGGGGTAAGAGTTAGGTAGGAAAAGATTAAGGGAAAGATTCACCTTGCTTAGGATTTGGAGACAATCTGCCATTCGACGAAACAGAGTTGCTCCTCAGTAGATTCAGCGAGGGTGAAGATGATCATCTCCACGTAATCCTCCACGGTTTGGTCAACCTCGAGGTTGAGGCTGAAAAAAGGGGGGTTGAGGATGTCGACGTGGCCTTGGTCATCGTAAACGAATCCGTGGTCATGTTATGGATCCGCCATGCATGAGTAGAGAAGTTTATAAGGTGTGGGAGGGAAAGTGGTGTGATCACTTCTCTCATCCTTCCTTAGGAGAAGTATCAAGTCAAAGACAATAGTGGAGAGAGGTGGGTGGTCGACCAATATTAGGAAGGAAAAACCTCTTCCAAAAATATAAAATTGAATTTCAGATTTGAATAGAAGGGGGATTAGGGTTTAAAATGTGAATTCCAAGCAAGGAGAGGAAAAGGAAAATTATTCCTAATTGAGAGACTTGATTCAAGTGTTGAGGAGGAGGAGAGTTAATGTGGGGAGAGAGAGAGAGATATTGGGAGAGGGGGCCGGCAGCTTCAAGAGGGGGGAAGGGGGCTTTGTAGGAAAGAAATCAAGGCTTACTTGATTTAGAATATTAAATTAGGAAGGATTAATTTAATACCAATCTAATTTAAAATTCAAATATGATTGATTTTGGGAACTTTCCTAAAATAGAATTCTATTTTAGGACAGATTTTAAAATTCAAAATTAATTGAATAATTAAAATCAAAGCTTTCCAAATGAGGTTGGGTGGAGAAAGGAAAGTAGTAATGGGTGGTTTTGAATTTTGGAGGCAAGGGGGAAGAGCTATGGCTGGCGGCTATGCTAGGTTAGGGTTTTCATATGGGATGGCATTTAGGATTGGGAGAAGGCCAGAAGGGTGGTCGGTTGGGTTGTAGTGAAGGTGGGTTTTGGCCAGGAGAGGTGGTGGGGTTATGGGTGGCCAGTGGCTAGGAGAGGGGCGGTGTGGGGGGGTTCGACCGAGAGGGGGAGGATGGGCTTTGGCCAATGGTGGGGAGGGAAAGGGAGGGAGGAAAGGGGAGCGATGACAACCACGAACCCGGACACTTCCTGCGATTGGTGGATATTACAATGCCCTCACCTAGGAACTTTAATCTCTCCAAGAACTCTTACGCTCTCTCCAAACACATTGATGCAGAAATTTTCATCATAATATTCATTAGCACTCAAAGGAGGGGAAGGCTTTAAATAGCACAAAACAATAAAGAAAATACAAAAGACTCAAGTTTCCTTAGAGCATACATAGATAGGACTAGGCCCTTAAGCGAGGGCATAAACGGTAAAAATATAATAAACTCAAGAAACATAATTCAATAATAAAACTAATACAATAATAATCAAAAGTAGATCGGTGCGATTGTGGTCGTAGATTGTCGGCCCCACCTCAGGTAGACTCTCCAAGACCTGATGTCCTCATCAAAAATTCAAAGAAGCCACATGAGATAGAGAGCTAGAAACACAAGTGCAAGACCAATGGAGTGAAACCTACCTAAGAGCACCGAACCTAAGCATGATCATGGGTTATTTTCCATTATAGAGTCATACAAAATAAATTTACATAGCATCTAAAAACATAAGAAAATAAAAAATAAAAACATAAAAGACATAAAATGATAAAATATAATTGCATCAATAAGTCTTACAAATTATTATTAATTAAAAATAGTGATAATTATGATTTAATTACTAAAACTAAAATAGTGATAATTATGGTTTATTAACTTATTTAAGAAATATTAACTGAAATTTGCTGAGATTACTTATGATTTAATTTTATTTAATAGAATTATTTGTATTTCATTAGTTTAATACTTCACTAATTGATGACTAATTATAAAACTTATATATAATAAATTAATCTAATTAGGATTGATTAAAAATTTTAAAATTAGAGTTTGTATTTCATTAGTTTAATATTTTAATAAATAAATTAATCAGGATGTTAATATATAATAAGTACACTTAAGTATGATTTGATTAATCTCGTTGCAATTGTGTAACATATTTTAATTTCATCATCAATAATTATTATTAAAATCATATTTGAGCTATCAGACTTAAACCTAAAATAAATAGTCAAATAGTTAATAAAGATTTTAGTTTTAATTATAAATTATATTATTAATTATCTCATTAATCATTTAAAAATCTAATACTTATTAATTATTATTTACACTATCAATTATATATTTAATAATATATATATTAAATTATATTAATTAAGCTAATTATTTTATTTAATTTTATTGGGACATTTAGACCAATTAAGGCAAACAGCAAACTCACACACACATCGCATACACAACACTCAAACCTAAAAACTCTTAGCTAGTAGCCTAAGCTCCCAACAATTAGACCAAGGTGAGTTGTGTTATGCACTAATTATATTATTAATTATTTAATAAATTTACTTAATTATTCATATTTTAAATTATATTAACTAAGTTAATCAATAATAACTTAGAGGAGTCTAGGTTTGCATTTCATCTTCTCTTTTTATTGTTGTTGTTCGGCTTCGTTGCTTCGCAGTAGGTGTAGAGATTGCACGTGTCGCTTCTTCGACTCCTTCATGGTTGTTTGACTTCGCTCCTTTGACGATTTTCCCTTCTTGTCAAATCGGAAGTTACGACATTTTGATCGAAAGCAGCAACGGGAGCTCGTTGGTTGTGAAGGTAACTTTCTCCCTTTCACGTGCTTCTTCGGCCAAATCCCATAAGTCCGCCGAAAGCAATTGAGGATCAAAAGTTCGTGCGAGCTTCGCGACACTGGCGTCGCGGGAAGGAACTTCGAGTAACCTAAATCGCGTTAAATCTGCCGAAGCATGGGATTAGGATATATCATAATTTACCGGGATTTATGTCGTAAATCTGTAAATCCCAAATTTACGAATTCGCGGGATTTACAGTCGCGCAGAAATGTGTTTGGCTAGACTTCGTTAAATCCTACTTAAAATTGATGTCAAATCCGATATCAAACACCCCCTTAGTGGAAATTAATGAATGGTTGAGATTATTATGAAATTAAAATATTGGGATTATAAATTAGTATAATTACATATTACTTATTATTTACAATTTTACCTTTTTTCCAGGCCAATATTAAAAAGGACGGATCCAAAATTTGGCTCTAAGCTAGGCTCATTTAGCTCAATTCGATTGAGTCAAAAAATTTATTTGATCTTCGAACTAAATTATCATCCGTAGTTAAGTTCATCTTCCGCACAAGAGCCTGGCATAATGACTAAACACTAATCCCTGGCGAATGAATTACTTAGTAGAATCTTGAAGATTAAAAATAAATAAATAAAAAATAGTAGAATCTTGAAAAAAGATATTTTGATCACATTGAAAGAAAAACGAAAGTGATAGAAAGCTAAGCACCTGTAATGGCAAACAAGTTCAAGGTGAGCACCAGAGAGGCCATCCATAACGCCTCCATTCCGGGGCTCGCTGGAAAGTTGTGAGGACCTGCCATCTTCTTCATGAACCCGAACAGTGTAGAGCTCGAGGACGTTGGCGGCGGTCACAACGACATTAGGTATGGGTCCGATCCGCTTCTTGGCTGGCCACTCTGACTCGAGATCGACGGCCTGGATTGGCGATATTTGAGCAGCTAATTCCGCTGGGGAGTGGGTGATAAATCCGGAAGCGCAGTTCTCGATGCCGGTGGCCCAGTGCATCATCTTGAAGGCTGCGTAGCTCATTCTGGCAGGAGGTTGAAAGTTTTTGCCTGGGGTTTTGGAGAGATCGGTGTAGGAGACTGGAAGAAATGTGAAGGCGAAAGATTGCCGTGAGTTGTCAGAATGAAAAGATCAAGCAGCCAGCGAGAGTAGAGATTTCGTATGCTCGATGTTGGGGTCGACGCCCAGTTAGGGCTGAGAGGAGCCGTGGTGAACAGCGGCGGAGAGAGTGACATACAAAGGATTGTTTGGTTTCGAAATTTAAGCCAATTTTTGCCAATTAATTTTTTTGGCCATATAAATCTTATTTTCCACTCATTTTAGATTAACTTTCAGATTACTAAATTAAAATTTAATAATTCATATATCATGAAAAAAAAAGTTATCAAGCATGAATCCCAAAGCAAATTCACATTGAAAACTTCTTAAATTAAATTCGGAACCACCCAAACTCCAATTTCAGCAACTTATAGTCGAACTAATTGTCTCGAAGAGATGAACCCAACTACTTCAAACTCAATCTAATCTAAGTCCAAATGGGACCAAATTGAGGATTTGAAGCATGTTCGTAAGCTTTAAAGCATAAATTAGACAACCAGATAAATTCCAAATATGATATGCTTATAGTCGAATTGCACAACTCTTTATTATCTCTTCTTCTTCTTTATATATATATATATATATATATATATATATATATGAGAAATTTGACTCTATATGCATGAATGTTCATCTCTAATAAATATGCACAAAATTTGGACTTTATATGGGTCATAATAACAAATTTTGGACAAATATTTTATTATTTTTTAAAGATTGAATATGGTATTCATGTTAAACTCAATTTGGACCCTACTAATGAGGCGAACATAGCAATGTAGGGAAGGAGAGAGGACGAGTAAGGAGATGAGCTCTAAACCCACTTTCTATGTGAGAAGAGAAAATGTCATAGATTATCTAAAGCAATATATTGCAACCTCTTATTTCTATGATTCAATGTCATGCGATCTAAACTGGATTTATTTTTTATTATATTAATTATCTTTTTCCATTCATTACAATCAATATTCATATTTTACATCTATAATCCAAAATAATTCATGCAATAACTATCATTAACTACAAAATAATATATAAACAAAAGAAACTGAAAAAAAAAACTAAACTAGCATTACATTGCATAAAGGAAACTATGTATGTTGGCCAATGCCTCATGGTACAGGGTCCTTATCCTTTCGTGAAATCATGTAAAAATCATATAATGAACAAATAGCTTAGTAAGTACTAATATCTTACTACTGAAATCAATGCAATGAAAAAGAAGAATAATATGCTTTGAATCATATTAGCAAATATGTATTATTTCAATACCAATTAATTGTGCTAGCCATCTATATAAAATTTCATTTTATAACACATCGCATCTAAGGCTATTGCATTATCAATCAATAATATCAGTAACCAGGATCAATATCAATAACAATACATAATATCAGTATTCCGTATGAATATTAATGTCAGTATCAATAACAATATTTATATATTTAGAAGAGGATATTATGGTCCTACTTCTTCACTAATGACTCCTAATCAGTTGTCTCTTATGACTCTCAATTAGTATACTCCTTATAATCCACCTTGAATCATGTGATTTGTCACACTGACTCCTTATGACTCCCAATCAATCTTCAACGTCTTATAACTCCCATTTGTGGACAACTCAGTTTTGAGGCTTATCTGTGAGTTATACTTCATTATGTTTGATTTTAATTAGTAATTGTTTCAGGCTAGTATCGTAGTATCATTTCAATATATATATATTTTATATTTGTATATATATTATATTATATATATGACTATATTAATATATTTATAGTCCTACCAATCATTATGCCGTACTATATTGTTTATTATCATATCAAATCACAGTACATCACTTTCAGCTTAGTTTCAACATATCTTTTCATACTCATTTCACATAAACATCCTTATACACGTTTCTAGCAGGTGAAAATGCAATAAAGTTAAATCATATTATTTAGAATGATCAAAACTATAACATAGCAAAAGCAACACAGTTAAAACTTATAAAATTAGTAGATACTATATTTTTAATAGATTTAGAAGAGATACCATAGAAGTCAAAATCATAAAACATAGAAGTAAGATGATAGTTACTTACAATGATCAGAACACATTTTATAACAGAAGCAATGCATGAAATGACTTAAACTCAACTTACTCCTCTTTTCTTCTTCCTTTTCCTTCTCTTCCTCTGGTTTCTTCCTAGACAAATAACTTGAAATGAGGGAAAGTGAGGGGCTGATGGAAAATATATTATTCTCCTTACATGTTTTTTTTTTTTCATTCATGTGTGCATCATTACTCTTGGTTGTATGCATATCCCCTAGAATTTGTATTACCATTTAACAATATAGTGTTTCATAGGAAAGTTCAAATAATAATATATTAAGATTGGGGGTGATGATTGTTTTTTTTTTTTATTAGAAGGCCTTTTAAATATCAATAGATGTAGATCGAGGATTGCATATAATGGATAAAAATAACTTTTACCTATCTTTGCATTAAAGCCAACAATTGTAATTCTTGAAGATTAGAGTGGCGCCTCTGGATCTAAGAGAAAAATTGAATTCCTATGCTAAAATTTCTCAACCAAAATATAACTCACCAGAGTCATCTAGTATTCCAAAAATACTTAAACAACTAGGAAACATTCTATATTTTATTTCAAAAATAATAACCTACAAATAATCTAGTAACATTACACTATATGCATCAAAATATAAAGATTGGATTACTAAAAATACTCCAACATAACCCTATTGATCTTGACCCTATGATCTCACTCTGTTGGGTTCTTTCTTTTACCTAAAAAATTAAACATCAATAGAGTATCTATTTCAACTCAATAGACATACTCAAATACTATTACATAATTCAATACTTATCTTTACATTCATGAATTTAGGTTTGAATAGTAAGTTCAAATAAATATAAACTAACTATCCATTTCTTCAAAGAATATGTTAGAATTTACTTTTTCATGGATATATAATTTTTATTGCACTTTCACACAATTATGAAAGTGTTAAGAGTTTCCATAATAGTATATAATATGCGTTTTTTCTCCATCTTCACAAAAGTAATATAGCCCACTTATATAGAAAATGATAGGGTGTACTTATTTCTAGAGCACTCTATTATAATTAAATTTGCTCCATTTATTGGGATATATTTTATATTCAATTTATCTTATTTAATAGAATAATTCTATATAAAATGATTTGCATGTTTTGATGTATGCTTATAACTCTACTTCCACTTATACCTCTCACAATCAATGTCTAGTAGGTGAAGGAGACCTTTATGAATTCCCTTATAACCTTACTTTCACCTATGCATCTTTTGAACATCCCATATCTACATGGAATGTATGGGGCTAGAAATAACCTCCATATGTCTATAATAAATGAGGCCACATTCAGAAGCAAAATAGAATAAAAAGTTGAGCCCGCAAAATATAATTTACAATGCACACTACAAAAAAATTAATATATAACAACATATATATTAAGACACTTATATTTAAGTGCCTTAAGATATATCTATTAGGGCATATTTTGATTTCGCGCCTATTAATTAGCGATTTGGCGCTAAGGCGCTAATAAAGGCATCGTCGATTAGTTACTGTGTATTTCATTTTTCTCATATCAAACTGCTTCGCCTCTGTTGTCGCTGCTTCGCCTCGATCCATCGCTGCTTCGCCTCGATCCATCGCTGCTTCACCTCTGTCGAAAGCGCGCGTTCTCTTCCTGTTTGCAATTCCTTATTCTCTCTGATTCGTGAACGCTACATCAACAATCAAGACCCTGCATCAGGTAAAATGATTTCAATCAAGCCTTTATACTTCAAAAGCCAAATCCCCACGGTCTTGGATTTGAAAAAATTTCTTCTTTCTTCTTTTGATTTCTAGTGTTCTTGATCATATAAATTTGACACAAAACCGAGTTATTTTGCGGTTTGGCGATAAAACAGAGATCGTGCGAATAAGTTTTCACGGTGCTGCTTCGTGTTCTTTCGTCTAGGTCAAATTTATTCGCCTCTATAATTCATCGGCATTTTAATCTGTTTGCATTCTTTTCATTTTCTAGTTTCTGAACAATCAGCGTATAGAAGTTGTTATCGCTGATCTTGAAGTTCTTTAGGACATTGGTCTCTAGTTTTAATCTGTTTGCATTTTCTTGTTTGATTTGTTGCTTCCCCTATTTATATTGGAAATATTCCGTGCTACAAACTGAGTTTATTGTTTGCTCTAGTTGACTTGATTGCATTATGTTTTTTCTCTGATATTTTGATATTGACAAGTCCATGCATTGAAAATACATTAAGCACTAAATATGAATTTCTTAAGGAATTATGAACCAAAAATACCTTTACAACCAAAATTTGTTCCGGGGGCGCTGCCCCCAGAAACCCCCGCAAGGGCGCTGCCCCTTGACTTAAATTGATTATGTACGCATATGAAGATTGAAGTAGAATTTCTGTTTTATTTAAGGAGAAAAATTCTTGTAATTTTATATTTATGAAATAAATTTTTATTTGAAGAAAAATATCTTATGTAAGCTCTCATATGTATGTGAGATTTTAAGAAATTTGATTGTAGATTAATTATTTCAATTGAAATATTATGAGTCAACATAATTAATTGATAATTAAATGTAATTTTGAAATACATAATAATGTCATTTTATTAAAATTATTTCATTAAATTGAAGTGTTGAGAAATCATATATTTTAGGATAACTAATATGTGCATTATTATTAAATATATTCCATCAAATAAATGCACTATGAAAGTTAATCTATTATGACATATAATATTTGTCATATTTAGTTGCAAATTCCATCATATGAAGGTGTTAGAAAAACTTGTCTATTAGGACACCTAGAAGGTGTCATTGAGGAGGCTATGCCATCAAAATTATATGTCATAAAAGTTTAGTTTTTAGGGCACATAAAGATGCCCTTAACCCTATGCCAACAGCCACCTAAGTGACACCATTGTTTGATGCCTCAATATATCATGTGCCCTAATAGATATATATTATGACACTTTGAGGTGCCCTAATAGCCATTATTTTTTGTAGCGCATTTTATCAATTTCCCACATTACAACATCTATCATATGATCATAAGTGCACATGCTAAACTTTATAGAATTAATATGTATACAATT